GAATATCGCCTCGGATTCACTTCTCCGCACGTCCTACCTTCCAGTAAGTGGTCGCTTCTCTGTTCAGAGAGTTGTTGCTACTCTTCTCTTCGATCTCCTGTTGAGTTCGTAGGTGTTCAGAATGGTTTGATCCCTATTCAGCTGAATTCCTGAGACCAGACGAAATCCAGGTCTCCTACTCCTCCGCCATCTTGCTCCGCCCCCCTCCTCTTTTCATTGTTTTAAGGGCCATTTGTATTTCTTTTCGTGTGTGAACTATTTAATTATTTTGAGTGTTTATATATTGGTATATTAATTGTTTGTGATATGAGATGCAGAGTTTGTCATTTATATCTGTCCTTTGCTTAGATTTTTTAAAATTTATTTTTGCTTTTGCCATGTAGCAGCTTTTTAGTTTTCACATAGTCAAATTGGTCATTAATTAAACTTCTACCCCGAGGTTATAGAATAATTCATCTATTTCTTTTTCTTTTAGTATTTGTATGGTTTCCTCTTCTACGTTTGTCTTTGTTCCAGTTGGAGTTTATCCTGGTGTTTGGCATAACAGTGGTAAAATCAGTTTTCTCTTTTTCTGTGCTGTTTTAGTAGTATTACTTTAAAAGTCAATTTTTTCTCAATGATTTGAGATGCTTGCCTTTATCATGTATCTTATTTTCATATGCACTTGGGTCTATTTCTGGATTCCTTATCCTGTTCTACTGGTCTTGTCTCTTCATTTGACACTACTATTTTTTTCTTTATAGGTACTTTGTATGTTTTCTGGTATGGCTAGGTGCCCCTTCTCCCAGCCCCTGTTGTTTTCCTTTTTATGGTCTTCCTGCCTACTGGGCTTGTCTTTTCCAGTGAACTTTATCTTTTTGAGCTCCAGAAAAAAAAATAGGTGTTTTTTTTGGGATCATGTTAAATTTATGAACTTGATCTGACATTGTTACAAGGATGTTTAGCCTTCTAAGACCGTGGTATGTGTTTACATGTGTTCCAGTCATGTTTTAGGTCCTTCATGTTGATATTAGTATTTCTTGTTAAGTTTATGCCCAGCTGTTTTATTTTTGCAGTTGTAAATAGGATCTTTCTTCCACATTACGTCTTCTGTTTTTTTTGTTTGAATATATGAACACTGCTAAGTTTTGTATATTGATTTTATAATCTACTTTACTAAATTATGTTATAGTTTAATTTTTCCAGTTGCGAATTTGTATCCTTTGTAAATTGAGACTGTTTGCCTCTTACTTTGCAATTCATTTTCTTCCTGTTCTTTGAGGTATATTAGGTTTTTGCTTTTGCTGGCCAACTTTATCTCCAGGGCACCTTTTCTACTCTCTCTCTCTTTTTTATTTTTTTCTTTTTTCAGTCAGCTGTTGTTTAGGCATTTGATTGCTAAACTGGAGGAAAGTGACCACCAACCTCTAAATCCCTTTTTTCCTGAATTATTTATATTTCATTTAGAGATTCAGATGTATATTTTTATTTTTTAAAGCCAACTTAGTTGGTATATAAATTATATACAAGCAGAAAATTCACCCTTTTAAGGTTTACAGTTCATAAATTTTAGAAACATATAAAACCATGTTGCTATTGCCACAGTTAAGATGTAGACTATTTCCAGCACCCTTGTGCCTCTCTGCATCAGTACCCCCAAACCCCCTCACCTCTGGTCCTTGGCACCCACTGATCCAATTTCTCTCCCTGTAGTTTTGCCTTTTCCAAAATGTCATATACATGGAATCATATAGTATGTGCCTTTTGAGCCTGGCTTCTTCCACTTACCCTCATGCTTTCGAGATTCATCCATGTTGTTGCCTGTGTCAGTAATTTGTTACTTTTTATTGCTGGCTACAGTACTGTTCCACTGAAGGGATATACCATACTTTGTTTATCCACTCACTGATTGAATTGGGTTGTTTCCAAACTCCTGTGATTGTGAACAAAGCTGCTATAAACATTTGCATACAGTTTTTTTGCAGACATGTTTTCACTTATTTTGGGTAAATACTTGTAATGGGATTTGTGGGTTTCATAGTAAGTGTGTATTTAACTTGAAAGAAACTGTGCAGTCATTTTACAAAGTAGCTGTACCATTTTGCACTCCCATCAGTGGGGCGGGAGCATTCCAGTTGCTCTACATCGTTGCCAGTATTTGTCTTTATCAGTTTATTTTATTTTAGTCATTTTCATCGTTGTGTAGTAATGTCTCAGTGTGGTTTTAAGTTTAAGGTTTATTTCTTAAAACCTTGATAAAATCAGAAGCTGAATTTATTAGTTGTCTAAAAATATTAAGAATAAGGTCACTTTTGCCCAATGAATATTCATCAGAAACTGTGAAGCTAGCTTCTTGCCTTTCCTGCCTTTCCTTACTCCCCAGCACAGTGGGCACTTAATGATTCTCGGTTCCATGGACCAATTAACCAAGAAGGGCCACTTGTCTTCCATGTATCTGGAAGAAATGGGATATTTTGATAGGAACTTCTCAATGTTTCAAAGCAAACATTTCAGTTAAAAATTTGGTGTTTTCTTTCTGTAAGAAATTTGCAAGTGTTTTCGTCTCAGCCTGCCATATTGAGGTACAGTGATGGTAATACACTTCTGTTGAATTACACAGGAAAACCATGAAGAACCGCTACATGGAACTGTACGACCTCAATAAAGACTTGCTAAATGGATACAAAATTCGTTGTAACAACCACATGGAGCTCCTGGGGAACCTCAAAGCAGTAAATCAGGCCATTCAAAGAGCTGGTCGTCTGCGGGGTAAGTCTCTTTTTGTAGCACTATAAGTAGTCTGTAATTTGGGGATGAGAACTCTTAGAGCTAGTGGTAGCTTCTAGAATTCATACTGGGGCCGACAGCAGCATACCTTTGATACCCAGCTTGGCCGCAGTTTGGCTTTAGTCAGTCTGCAGACTTCAGAGGGAAAGAAAACTTTCAGCCCCTTTTCTTAGATCTTGCTGCACCTCCAGGGAAAACCTAGTGACATATACCCAAAGGGAAAGCCTTAAATATACCTGTTTTTTACAAAGGGAGACTAAAGATTAATGAGCTACGTGTCCAACTTAAAATATAGAAAAAGAGCATAGAATAAATCAAAGGAAGCAGAAATATTGCCAGAGATTTATACCTGAAATCTGTTGTTTGGCTCAATGCTTTGACCTCCTTTTAGAAAAATACTCTTTGCAGGCGCCTGGGTGGCTCAGTTGGTTAAACGACTGCCTTTGGCTCAGGTCATGATCCTGGAGTTCTGGGATCGAGTCCCGCATCGGGTGCCCTGCTCAGCGGGGAGTCTGCTTCTCCCTCTGACCCTCTTCGTCTCGTGCTCTCTATCTCTCATTCTCTCTCTCAAATAAATAAAATCTTTAAAAAAAATACTCTTTGCTTGGGCACCTGGCTCAGTATGAAGACTACGCAACTCTTGATCTCGGGGTCATGAGTTTGAGCCCCATGTTGGGTATAGAGATTACTTATCTTTAGGGAAAAAAAAATAATCTTCTGTTAGGTGGATCTATGCTTTGATCCTCTTCTATAAAACTGACTTCATTTCTAGGTTTGAGATGGTCCCTAGGTTTGGTTTGTGATAAATTCCCTCACAGAGTTACCTTTTTTAGAGAGTGGTAAGACAAATTAAATTTGCCCACCATATATATCTTTTCTACCCTAGTTTTATGCTGTTTTAAAGCTGGACTCTGATTTATAATTTCACTTTTAATCATCTTTTGGATTGTACTGATTTGATGTTTCATCCCACACAGTTGGAAAACCAAAGAACCAGGTGATCACTGCTTGTCGGGATGCGATTCGAAGCAACAACATCAACACGCTGTTCAGAATCATGCGGGTGGGAACAGCTTCTTCTTAGGAAAGGAAAGAATAGGTAATGAAATTCCTAAAAAGGGTTTTTCCCTAAAAATCGAGGCTAGTTTGCTTGAATCACATCCTGGTGAACCCAGGTGCTGGGAATGTCAATAGCCTTGGTGAATGGTACAAATGCAGACTACCACTGCATCCCTTTCTATGTTTAGAATCAGTTGCACTGTTACCGAATAATACCAGGTTTGTGTAGAGGAGGGGAATACTTTTAAAATGTTAGGGCTTCAAAGTTGTTTTTCAGTATGTATGTAAAATTGGTATTAGATATATAGATACATCTTCTTCCTTGAAATTGTAATTGAATTTGTAATTAAAAATTTTTTCATTAAAACTTAGGAATTGCACTTTGTGTTAACTGTAGTCACCACCGTCTTAGAATTGCGGAAACCATTTGCATGATGTGGAGGAAAACACAAGCATGGGTATTGGATTTGTGTGCCTTTTATCACTGACGGGTGGGTATACGCAACACACCTGCATTTAAGGGAGAGTCAGTTGAAGTTGATCTGTTAGTTGGGGGTAATGTTAGCTACTGAAACTAATAGACCTCAAAGTTCATAATGACCCATTTATTTCTCATTTATGTCAGGATGTCTCTATAGTTATTCAGGGACCCCGCTTCCTGCGATCATGCAGCCATGTCATCCTCTAGGGCAGCCTTTCTTGGAGTTCTCTAGAGAAAGGAGTTTCAGGAAATGGATTTGGGTGACTATTTTCACGTTCATTGCATACGATGAAGGCCTGATGGCACCAGGAACCCGATGTGAGAAGGCCTTGCCATGATTTATGTCCAAGTCAGTAGAACAGGGAAAGCTTTTCTCAGAGCTGTGATCTAGAAATAGCATATTATCATTCCTACTTGCGTTCTGTCAGCTGACATGGCCACACCTCACTGCAGAGAGGCTAGGAAATATCACCAGCTGTGTGTCGGCAAGGCGGAGAAAGCTGGTGTCTGTACCAACAGCTAGCAGCTCCTTCCCTAAGAGTGAAAGTTTTGCCTTCAGGTAGATTCCAGGACTGGTTTAATGACGAAAACATTCGCTAGTTTTCACTTCTTAACAGCATTCCTAAGTAGTGGGGAAGACAGGCCGTCCCCCTGTGGTAAATTAATCTTACGAGTTTCTTCCATTTAGGCATTTAGGATGACCTCTTCTGTTCCTGAAATGTGAGCTTTGTGGAATCCTAATTTTTATGAGACTATGCCCTAGAATACCTTTGTTTAACATTTTCAACCTATAAGCTCAAAAGACACCCACATAGGGGCACCTGGGTGGCTCAGATGGTTAAGCGTCTGCCTTCGGCTCAGGTCATGATCTCAGGGTCCTGGGATCGAGCCCCATGTCGGGCTCCCTGCTCAGCGGGGAGCCTGCTTCTCCCTCTGCCTCTACTGTTCCTCCTGCTTGTGCTCTGTCAAATAAATAAAATCTTAAAAAAAACAAGACACCCACATATACTGTATTATTTTTCATAATCCCTGAAAGTAGTAAAGCATCTTCTTTGTGTGCTTCAAAGATGAGGGAACTGAGACACAGGGATTAATTACTTGCCAGAGTCACAGAGCTACTGGCAAAACTCGAGTTCCACTCTTGAGTCTTTTTGTTTTTTAAAAATTTATTAATTTAAAAGATTTATTTGACAGAGAGAGAGTGCGAGAGCACAAGCAGGGGGAGAAGCAGGCTCCCCCGCTGAGCAGGGAGCCCGAACTCGGGACTCGATCCCAGGACCCTGAGATCATGACCTGAGCCGAAGGCAGATGCTTAACCGACTGAGCAACCCAAGCGCCCCAGAGTCTTTTTCTGTTTTAACCATAGTCTAACCTATACGTTTTGAGATTAAAATCTTTAGTTGGTGCTGGTTTTAAATTGTATGGCACTATTCAGGACACCTGGGTGGCTCAGTCATTAAGTGTCTGCCTTTGGCTCAGGTCATATCCTAACAGAATAATCTCATCAAAGGTCATTCAGTTATTCTTCAGCCAAAAAGCTTCCTTCTTAGCCCTAAAAATACTCATAGCAAGTCTCGAAGGCGTTGACCTGCAGTAGAATGTCTTTAAATAGTCCTGACTTACAGGTTACAAAGGATGATTTTCACATTAATTTGATCCTCTTGGATCAGAGAGGCAGAATGTTTTCTACAGGGTCTCACAGCTTGGTGAGTGCTGGTGTGGGTTTGAAACCGAGTAGCCATGGCCCTTCCTGCTATTCCAACTGTTCCCAGTCATGTAAAGACTGGATGAGATGAAAATATTCATAAAACCTTCTACCTTCTCTTTTCCTCTTATAAGTCACCGTGTTCAGCCTAAGGAGGAGAAAAACTATTTGGTTATCAGTTGCCTCTCTGTTTTGTTGCCATATTTTTCTATCCTGATAGAATCTGAGGCCTTCTAAGAAGTCACAGCTTGAACTCTTATTTTGTTGCTGCGTTTTGTTGAAGCTTTAAGTGAACACTGAGCCTTCACTGAAAAGCTGATCTTGAGGATCCTGGTATCTGGGAGAAAGCGTTGAAGTCATTTTTCGAGCATCCCTTTAAAAAAAAGTCTCCCGCCCCCTGCCAAATTCAGGTACTCAATATTTTTGAAAGAGTATGGTTTTTATTATTTCCCACATGTCTTCCTACCCACATACATCAAGGCTTGGCTCAAATGCTTTCTCCTCAGGAGATCTTCCCCTCCCGTGGCTATTCCTTAACCCTTATTACATTCTGTGTTTAGATCGATGTTAATCCTCTACTGAGAACAGGGGCTGCATCTCAATCAGCTTTCTCCTCCCAGTGGTGCTGAGCCAGTGCTCTGAGCACAGAGAAGCACCTGCTGCTCTCCATGGAATTGCCTATCCTCAGCCAGTCCATCAGGAGCTTCCAACATCACAGAACTAGGGACTTTACAACAATTATGCAACCCTAGCAGTGCTTTACAAGAATGAGTTCCAACATTATTTATGTTTCAAAGTTTATAATTAGCAGTTACAAATCTGCCAGTGCAGAGGCCTGTGATCACAGAACTAAATTATCTCCGCTTTCACTTTGAAACTGAAGTACAGTAAGGAACCCGTTTGCAGCTTGGTGTTTTGCATTTTGCCTCTTTCCCATCTGGCCCCTGCCCACACTAGATGCTGAAGCTCCTGACTCATCTTTTTATTTGTATGGTACAGAAATCTGCTTTTCCTAAAATGATGTCACATGGATGATTCCCAAGTAGTTTTCAGAACTGTCTACATGAGCTGATTTTGCATCAATCAGAGAAAGAAATCGTGTGTTTTTGCAGGAACATTCAGTTCATTAGGGATGGAAAGCTGGTGTCACAAGGACCCTTCTAACGGGCTTTGCATTTTCTCACTGTCAGTGGCATATAAGGAAATACACACTGGTACCGAAGACATACGACAGCCAAAGCTTCTGGCTGAAGAAATACTGGTCTAAGAGAGGTAGCCCAAGCAGTGATTTTTTTTTCCTTCAGTATTCTGCGGGAAAGAAACCACCGCATTCAGTGGAGTGTGGGAGCCAGTCAATGAGCAGTAGAAAAGCCAGGTTCAAAACCAGGTTCAAAACCAGCCTCTTTCCCTTCTGGGCTTCATTTTCCACATCTTTAAAATGGGGGACAGAAGTTAGATTATTAATAGAGTTCTTCCTTAAACATTTTATTTTTCCTCCTAATAGAATGCTAATATGCTCTCAAAATAACTTTATGAAAACGTTCTTAATTTCCATCATTATGAACATATAAATGGGATTTGTTCTTAGGGGGCGACCTTATGCAGCTGTAGGAAGTGGCAAAGCAGTCTCTGGAAGGCACATTCTCTGTCTCAGTACATTACGAAGTACCACAGTGGCTGTCACAGGATGGTGGGATTCCAGATGGATGACCTTTCCTTTACATTTTTCCATGTTCTGCTTCTTCACAATGAACATGTATTATATATATAATCTGAAAAAATATAAAGCTGCTCTCTTTGGGGGAAAAAAAAATCTTTACTAAAAGGAATAAGAATTGGAGGTTCACTGTTAAGAATTAAGAGAGAAGATGCCATATATTATACAGGTGAACATCATAGCTCTTACCTGAAACAAGTATTTCAAAGATGCCCACGTTTTAATTCCTCTTTTGCCACTAAACAGTTTTTGACACTGGCAGAAGCCCTAAAGATCAAGAGGAAGAATGAAGTACTAGGAAAAACAGCTTCTTAGTCACTGATGTCTTCAGTGCAGGAAAGGGACCTGTGAAAGCTACACGGTCCTCTAAGAGGAGCTGTTGTAGATAATGTAACGGACACAAACATCAGAGTCTGGCCCTCAGGGACTCGCTCTCCCTTCAGGCACCGAAATCCTTTTCCATAGTGTATAGAAGATTCTGCCATGTTGACAGACCATAGACACATTGAGATTAAGGAGAAACTAATAAGCACATTTTAACGCTTGTGTAGTTTGCTAAGGTTTAGACAGAGCACTCCAGAACAGGACAAGCTGGGTGGCATCGTACGTGTCACCTAGAGCCATGAGTCTCTATTTTCCCAGCTTGGCGTATGTGATGGTTTCACCTGCCTGGCACTTTCTCCTGGGCCCTCCGCTTCCAGTTACGCCACTGACGGGTTCACTAGAACCTCACCCCTCTCTCTCCCCATCATAAAAACACACCAGAAAGCAAGTGAGTGAAATCAGTCTGTAGCAACTGAAAAGAAAAGGCAAGCTTTGAAATGTAAGCCATGAGTTACACAGTAGGTGTAATCCGTGAGTGTTATTATACCATGGTGAAAAACTGTGGTCTCCAAAACAGTATGCATGTACACTGGCCCAGTACCGTGTGGGCATGGGAAGACACCATTAGAACACTAGTTCTAGGTGCTTCTTTCTCACCTCACCTGGGAAAAAGATATGTTTTGTAACAATACTGAATATTAGTGCATGTGAAAAATTTCTAGACACATATCCATATAATGGGTATAAACGCTAAAACATTTTTTACTGACTGGGGTGCGAAATTAAATTTTAAAGCCATCAACCTAAAAGAAAGTGAACCTCATTCTCTCATTTAAGGTCAACTTTAGAATAGAGTCAGTACTCAAAGTGTTACGAGATTAACGAAGATAAAAGCCCAGTGCTTTTGCTCTTGATTAATAAAACCCCCAATAAAAGCTATGGTAACAGCTAGTAATACGTGTAAAAAAGAGAGAGGAAATGAGAAGACAAGAATGGAATGAGAACAGCATCTTTCAGGTAAAGATGCAGTGACCCCGATGCCCACTTGGCACACCCACATGGACATGTGGTACTTCTCATGTAACCCGCACGATAGTCCAGGGGAAAAGAATGTAACAGAGTGCACAGCCTCTTGGCATT